CCTCCTTTGCTTTGTTGCGCTCAACTGTTCTCTCTCTTCATATCTCTCTTATCATCACCCTGTAGCATCTTTTCCTACTCAGCGTGCATTGCTTCTCTTTCCCTGTGGCCAAGTCCTCTTGTCATATCTCGAGCAAGCATTGAGTCATTGGCCTCTTTGGTTGTGATTCAAAGGAATTTCCTGACATCTTTACGCGTTCTAGGCTTCCATACGCCTTCTGACTTCTAAGTATCAATCCGCTTGTCAGAATGGATAACTTCGATGTCACGGACATGAGCAACGCGCTCAAAGAAGTGACCGACGAAAAGACAAACAAAAACGTCGAAGCTTCCAATCTCGCTCGCGAGAAGGGATGGGTTCCACCCGAGCAGTACGACTACGCCAAGTACAACACTGGTCCTGCTGAGAAGCCGGAAGAGGTCACTGAACAAAGTGAAATCCCGGAGTGGGCTGCCAAAGCTGCTAAGTATGAATGGAACGATGAGTTTGGTGATGTCGGTCCTCCCAACAAAGAACTCGAGGATATGTTGTTCCGTAACGAGTTCATCAATCGTGCTGGCCTCAAAATCGGCAAGTCAGTGAATATCCTTCTTTAACCAATGAGAAGTTTCCAGCTGACCCTGCGAAGTCTACAGAAGATCGATGTCATCGCCGAAAGTAGAGAGCGCCCTAACCCAGTCAAGAACGTAAGCTGTTGCCATCCTATGCTATATCCGTACTCAGTATTTGACGACTCCAAGTTTGACGACGCTGGTCTCCATCCTATCATGCGCGAGAACATTCGTCTGTGCAACTATGAGGTCCCCACGCCTATCCAGGCCTACGCCATTCCTGCTGTTCTTACCGGTCATGATCTGATTGCCATTGCCCAGACGGGTGAGTGTGAGAGCTGATACCCCTCATCTAAGACGATTGAATAACAAAATCAACGAGTTAGGTTCTGGTAAAACGGCCGCTTTTCTGATTCCCGTGCTTTCCCAGCTTATGGGCAAGGCAAAAAAGCTAGCAGCCCCCCGTCCTAACTTGGCCAACGGCTTTGATCCTTCGGTCGATGCTGTTCGTGCCGAGCCACTGGTGCTTATCGTTGCGCCAACCAGAGAACTATCCACTCAGATTTTCGACGAGGCTCGTCGTCTATGCTATCGCTCTATGTTGCGCCCCTGTGTCGTTTATGGTGGTGCTCCCGTGCGTGAGCAGCGTGAGGAGCTCCAGAAGGGCTGTGACATTCTCATCGGTACTCCTGGCAGACTGCTGGACTTTATGGACAAGCCTCATGTCCTTTCCCTTCGCCGGGTCAAGTAAGTAATATCCGCTAAATCATTTACTTACAAACTAATTATTTTTGTAAGGTATACCATCATCGATGAAGCCGATGAGCTGCTTCTCTCCGACTGGGAATCCGACTTTACAAAAATCATGTCTGGTGGAGGTATGAAATCACGATTTATCCCTTTCTGTAATGCCATGCTGACTTCCAGAAGACGTGAACGAGGATGCAGACCATCGTTACATGATGTTCTCTGCAACCTTCAACCGCGAATGTCGTCGTTTGGCCCGCAAATTCCTCGCAGAAGACCATGTTCGTATCCGCATTGGACGTCCCGGCAGCACCCACATAAACGTCGATCAGACCGTAAGTAAATTGGAGGCTCGAACCGAGACGGGAGCATTACTGAAAATGTATAGATCATCTATGCCGAGGATCACCTTAAAAAGCAATGCCTCTACGACCTTCTGCTGGCGATGCCGCCATCGCGGACCTTGATTTTTGTCAACACGAAGACCCAGGCCGATTTCCTGGATGACTTCTTATACAACATGGGTCTTCCGAGCACCTCTATCCATTCCGATCGGACTCAGCGCGAACGTGAGGATGCTCTGTGAGTTCACTTCTCTTTAAGCAAGCGAAAGCTAGTGCTAACCCGTCCAACAGGCGTTCCTTCCGTAGTGCTAGATGCCCTATCATGGTGGCCACTGGCGTCTCGGCTCGTGGACTGGATATCAAGAATGTTATGCACGTTGTCAACTTTGACTTACCTAGTGCCACGCATGGTGGCATCACTGAGTACATTCATCGTATCGGTGAGCACATCAGTCACGTACACTATCTTGGGCTGCCAGCTAACGGTCCACAGGGCGTACTGCACGCATTGGCAACGAAGGCCTTGCAACCTCCTTCTACAATGACAGAAACTCCGATATTGCCCCCGACCTCGTGAAGATCTTGATTGAAACAGGCCAGAAAGTCCCCGATTTTCTTGAGTCCTACAAGCCTGCCGATGAGGTGGTGAAGTTCGACGACGATACAGATGATGAGGCTGACGATGGGGACGACAATGCGAACACCAACAACCCTGATGCCGGAACTGGCTGGGGTGGCATTCCCATGGAATCCTCCAACGACGATGCCCCTGTCTCTACCGGCTGGGAGTGATTTGAAGCAAGAGGTCCACCCTTCCTTGGCCCTCTCTGTCTCTCGATGGAGCTGTCGCGCGGTTGAGCTTGCGCTTGATGGGTGACTGAGACTGGGTAGGAGTCTCTCTGGCCGGATCACTGTCCCTTCACGCTTTGACCAGGCAAGGGGATGGCTGACGCCACTCGATCTCATACCTTCAGTGCGGAGCAGGGTTCTCTGTATTGTAAGGTACATCACTCTTGCTTTTCCGTAGTATGGTGGTCCTTCACTGGCAGGCTGTCTTTTTGGACCTTGGCCATACCTCGGAAGTTCAGTGAAGATTATTGACGGATTATCTCCAACTCTGACCTTTGGGGGTACGATGATAAATCTGTTTAGATTTTCGCAGGATCTTCGAGGAGTCTAGGGACCGTTAAAAGGATGGCTAGCTAGTATCTTGTTCGGACAGACCATATTTTGATGAATAATGACTTGACTTATTTCGATATTTGTGATTCAACCTGAGTAGATTGGCCCCAAGTATACCGTATGGTCCCTCCAGTGAGGAAGGGAGCGCAGCTCCCTTTCTGGGGCATAAGGTAGTTGGTTCTTTCCTTTCTCGTAGATGCACACCAACAAGACGCAGTCATTGCAATTCCTCCTGGCCTTCTCTTTCCATCCTCCACAGTCCTAGGATATCGTACTTCTTATCCCCAGTGTCTGTTCGGACTCAGGAACTTCGAGCATCATTATCCTTTGACAAGCGCTCAGTACCTTTAATCCCAGAACATCATCTTCAATGGCCGCGATGGATCTGCAGGGCCATCTCAAATTGGCCGGGCTGATAAGCATAGTCTCCCTAATTAGTCTGGTTATTGCCAGTCCATCCATCACATCTACACAGGACACAAATATTCCTCCATGCCAGCAGCATGCCGAACTACAGTCGAACGACAACACCCGCAACACCAGGAAAGTGTCTCTGCTTAACGGACTAGGCCACGAATCACCGCTGGTCATAGATACTTTCAACGACACATGGCGGAACAATCTCGGATTCTGGCACGGGGCGGGAGAAGGTCTACCCATTGAGTATGGCGATGGTTACGTGCGATTCTTTCCAACAGATCCCGACCACAACTATCACACTCAGCTAGCGGCAGCGGAATGCTTCAGCTTCCTCCCCTACAGCGACCAGTACCTTCATATTGTGTTTTCGGGAACAAACAAGTTCAGCATCTCGCTCAACCAGAACAATGAGGACTGTGACCCTTATCGGAAACCATACCCCGAGACGTGGGATTCAGTGGAGGCGGCCAGGTATACCAGTGGCAATGAGATATACGTGCCTCTTTCACATTTCCACATTGATCAATCCAGAGTCTTGTCGGTATCCTTCAATGGATTCTACTCCAAGGAAAGCTTGACATTATACAAGGTGGAAATTGTGCCGGAGCTTCCAATGGGTCTTCGAGTGCCAAACAGGCTAGCCAACGGTAGGATGGTTCTTAGATGCACAAGGCCCAATTCCTTCGCTTTTGGCATAGACGATGGGCAACCACGCTTCGCCCAAGAGGTCATGGATATCCTGGAGAAGGAGAACATTCTGGTGACTTTCTTCGTTGTCGGAGCCGGACTCCGAGATGAGGAAACCAATTTCACACAAGTGTACCGGGAAATGCTAAGGAGAGGCCATCAAATTGCCCTCCACTCGAATACACATCGAAAGTGAGCTCCCTTGCAAAACCTGTTTACCAGCGCTGACAAGGGTGGAAGGATGGAAGGTTTGCAAGCCATCGAAGACATCGACGATGAAATTATCAGGAACATCCGAGCGTTCGGGAGTTTCCTGGGAGTTGAGTGTAGGTGACCTTGTACGGAGCTTTGGCCTAATCTGTCAACTAAGCCTTAGCAGCTCGCTACTTCCGGCCACCATTTGGAACCATTGGCTCCAGAACCCGACAACGGCTTGCAGTGTATACCTCCGATCCTCAGATTGTCAACTGGAGTGTGGACATTGAGGACTGGCTCTGGGGCGATACCGAAACTCCGGAGAGACAGCTGGAGGCTTTCTATCGAGATGTGAGGCGCGGGGGCAACCTGGCTGTGATGCATTACCTAAAGCCAAGCACGGTCAAGTACTTCCCACGGGTTATTCGCTTTGTCAAGGCAATGAACTTGACCATCATGCGGATCGACCAGTGCCTTGAGGACCCTAGCAGTCCACCACTGATGGTCGGTTGACCGCAAGATCCAATCCTTAGTGGTCTGCTGCTCGTATTGATTTGGTAAGGCATGCGGACACACGTCCTGTTTTCGGACACAAACCGACTTTGAAATAGAGATTGTATACAGTTGTGAATGAGGAAACGGAACGAAGAATCAATTCAATGAACAGTATGCCTGTTTAAGGAAATAGTATAGTATAACCTGTTGAACCCAATACTTTCCCACCAGAGACGCCTGCCCAATGTATAATCTGACGCTGTGCAAGATAGCAAAGATAAGAGCTAGCACGAGGAGCTAGGAAATACAGACTCTAGTGATACAGGGATTTCAAGATGATAGGCTCAGCCTTTACCATCTCATCGCCATGTTGTCGGCGTCATAGACCGAAATCCGGCTTCGGACATGAAGGCGCCGACTCCATCATTCTCTCGATCCGCTTCATAACCCAGCCCGATCGCACGGCGGTGTTCCCCACACCAAGCCTAGGCGTCTTGCCGGTGAAACAGGAGCCCGCGCGAAGTGCGAATTGGACACAGGTGGAATCATTGAGACATGTAGACTGGCATTCCTGGAATGTGTTGACGGAGGCGTGTTCCTCGCCGGAAAGATTATCCCAACCGTCGCGGACGTTGGAGAGTTCGGGGTAAATGAGCTCTTTGAAGACGTCTGAGTGTAGAAGGAGGCGTTTGTGCGACTAGGAAAGCCTTTTAGCAGTTGTTCATCTTTATTGAGCGCTGCAATGGCGAGGAGTGATCTTACCTTCCATCGTCGCTGCTCGAATTCCCACAGGTTTCGGATGTCCTGTGGGGAGAGGTGATGGAACGCGACGGCGGGGAAGCACCATGGCTGGCGGTAGAAGCCCGCTGTGAAGGGATCGAGCTCGCCGATGTTCGAGTTTTGCAGGATAGGCCACGAATACGTTAGTGGGACGCCGGCGTCCAGCAGGACCTTGCCGAGGACGCAGTCGCCGGCCCAGTGCTCGTCGGTGAACATGTCGAGCTCGACGCTGCGGGCGGCGTACTCGTCCACCGCGAGCTGCAGGGCAGGGTGGGAGATAATGAAGCCGGACCCGCCGTGCGCGAAGATGACGTCCGCGATCTGGGTCTCGGTGCCGATGTAGAGCGGCTTCTGGGGGTCGTAGTTCGACAGCCATTCCAGAAGCGTGGGCCAGGCGAAGTAGGTGTCGGCCTCCATGAAGACGTACCACTTTGCGTCATTCTTGTAGCGTAGTGTCTCCCGGACCATGGGGAGGAATTTCCACTTGTCCAGTTTCCAGCCCGGGTTGTTGGGTTTCCCAATGGCCGAGTTGGCCTCGTCGGCGAAATCCTGCGTTCCCAGACCCTTTCTGCCGAGCTTCTGCAGCCGGTTGTAGAGGTCGAAGTCGGGAACAGTGCGTTTCACTTCGGGGTCCATGTTGCGTAAGGCATCGTGTATGCGCACGCCGGCGATTTCTTCCTCGAAGTCGGAGAAGATCACGTAGTTGGGGATGCAGCGCAGGGTGGTCTCGAAGTGCACGGGGACTTTGTCTAGAGCTTCGGTCACGCCGGTCTTCATTACCACCAGGACATCTTCGATGCCGGGAAGAAGGGGGCAGTCGGAATGAGTATCCGGCTTCTGTTTTGGTTGTTGTTGCTGCTGTAAGTTGCTGCGGACGGTTGACAACGGTCGCGGGAGGTTCGGTCTGATCGAAATGAAGTGGTATATAAGGAACAGTCCGAGCACCACAGAAACCAGAGTAATGCGACGACGGTAACGGAGCGGGATGAGCATTCTCGCGAGTCCAGCCAAAGCTGGGAGGGTTGGAAGAGGATAAGTTGTAGCCTCGTGCGGAGGAGATTCAGCTGAGGGGATGAAGCGCGAAACGAAGAGCGCTAGTAAGGACGAGCGCTCAACTTGCCAAAGACACTCTTAATCATCATCGGTCTTCCCTTTAGTATTTTCTCATATCTTCTCTCGAGTTCAGATCTCAGGCTGAGTGATCAATATTGTCGGATCTGTCGCAGGATTTTAGGGAGGAAGCGGAAGGAAGAAAAGGGACGAGGCGGAGCTGGTGACGGAACTCGCACGTTTTCAAACAGCAGCTTCAGAAGGTGCCTAGGTTGAGAAGATGAAGAACAACGTAGTAGCGAGGACGATCAGCCCACCGATAGTAAGAAGATCTAAGCAACCGTCAATGACGCGTATGTGTTGCGCTTCGGCCAGCTGAAACCCCTGGGAAAAACCGTGGGGTCAACGTTAGTTGCTTTTTAAGAATGGCTTAATATCTGCCACGCTGTGAAACTGTCACAAGGCTTGATTGAGGTACAGCCAGTCATCTATCTCTCTTCTTCATTATATCTCACATGCGACCCTGTTGTGCTCCCCTATTATGAATGTACCGTGAACTGTCGTCCGGGCAGACTGTGGAATGTTGACTAGCCAGAGCAACCAGAGCTAATTGCCAAATCTATCGATTGTATGGGACGATGGGGCAGATCGTCGACGCCAAGAATTTGACATGGAGTGACTCTCAATAAGGAGCAATGGTATCAGATTATGAAGTCGACATTGACATTAACAGTTGATCGGGAGGATATCTATGGACTATAAATTGGTTTTGTTGTGGTGACATCTTCAGGTATCATGACTGTTGCTTTGCCTGCTGTTTGGCAATCATGTTTGAATGTAGCTTCACCAGCTCAGGTATGATCAGACTCTCAATCTCCACTCCATCCGCGGTGTTAACACTTGTTGGTTTCTGCTCGTTGCCCTCTCGGGCTTCCCCACTGGGACGGTTCACCGACTCGCCCGCTTTCCTTGCCTCTGCCAGGCCCACCTGATCTTCCGCACCAGAGATGCTCTTGCTACGTCTCGTCTTGGGAACCCGAATCCAGCGCTCGTAGGGAGGATCTGGCGTCACAAAAACGACTTCCCATTTACGTGTGGATAGGAGGTTGCCAATAACCAGATGGTGTGAGTACCGCTTCAGCGCCGTCTGCGCCTTATAGACAAGCAGATTGGGATCCGTTTCCAGCTTGAAGGAGACAACCATACTTCCATCAGGCGCCCAGCCGTCCACCAGTCGATGCAGAAACTTGGGCACCGGGTCCAGACCGATCACGAGTTTCTTGCTGTTCCCTGCCTGGGTTTCCAGGCCACCTGTGTATATTTCCGATCCCGCGACCGAATTTGAATTGTCCAGGTGTGCGGGAAGCTCGGAGGACTGAATCTTGTGCTCTGCCATCCGCTCTCGAGGAATGAAGAAGTCGCTGACGGCCGCGGCTAGGTAGAATAATGCATTGGGTCCTAGTGGTCTCATCAACTTGGCCAGCATTCGCAACTCGAATAAGTACTCCGAAATCGTGGTAAATGGCAGAAGCAACAACAAGTTGTTTTGTTTGGCATAGCGGTATTTCCGCAAAACGTCCCGCATCTGGTCCTGATATTCACTGCGCACCACTATGGGACCATAACCTGGATTTGGAGATTCGGACGAGCTGGACGGTGGCGCCTCATCCATAAAGTCCAAGAAGCAGTTCGTCGAGTGGCTATAATGCCGTGAATATGGTAGCAGACTGAATTGCCGGTGAAGGAAAATCACCGCGTAGCCTTCTTGGAGAAAATACTCGGCGGAAGTTGCACCTCTGGTTCCAGCCGAGAAGTTGTCTATAAATCGCACCGTCTGGTTTTCGAGGGGAACAGTTGTGCCTCCGGACGTAACCAGGACCAGCCGCCTGTTCGCTTCGGTGTGATATTCGATAAACGCTCTGGCAAGGGCTTCATGTTTCGGGAGGTTCTTAGGAGGTGGGTAGTTGTTGAAATAGACCGACTCTTGCTCTGCAGGGGTCATTTCCTCTGTTGTTGCTGCCGCCATTGTCAATGGGCTTGTCTGCGAAACCGCGCCAATTCTCTCAAAGGTTATAGATCGCACGGCACTCTATAGCTAAGAAATCAATCCCGTCTAAGCAGTGCAAAGCAGATCAATTTAACTTCAATTAAGACCCCTAAGACCTCGAGTACGATTCCGGGGCTGATGTTGACTGAGAGCGCTCAACTCGGTACGATGACTCGCAAAGAACGAATACGGTTGGGCGGAGTTAATAAAAAGGAATCAGAGGAAGCCCGAAGTTCTCAAAGGTACCTGTTATCGGCGCTGCATGGATGGGACTCTGTTCCTCAACCAGCAGAGAAATCAGTTAGCCTGAGCGGGTGACCCCAACAGGATACCCCTCCATTAATCCGACATCAAGTGATCAGTAATGTACCTGGTAGACTTCCAATCCTGTCGCCGAAACTTATTATGCGCCAATTTTTAAATCCCTATGACCCGAGCTTCAGAGGACTGTAGGTCAGAAATATGACCTGTTAATTTGCCAGTACTGCAGAACACGGAGATAAATTGTCGGCTCCTCAGCTGCTTGCGCCGAGGCTGATGATGAGGGTTTCGGCTTCTCTTTGTCACCGCCTTTGAAGCACTCCGACTGACGTCAGCTGGTTGCGCATTCACGTGATAGCTCTCGAAAAGATTCAAGCAATGAAGGTAGGGAGCGTTTGTAGAAGTGTTTTGATTCATGATAGGTATCGAGTTAGCATCTAGCGCACATCATGCGGAGCTGGATACAAGCTCATTCAACTAGTATTCCAATCTTGCCCGACAGCATACAATGTCCGACCTGGAGCACTCCGTCTACAGATAGCGGCTTCGTAGCGCTTGACTGATAGTACTCATGCGGCTTGCCATTCCTCCGTGTTGCATGTTACTCATTAGGGCCTCTTCAAGTGCCGACTGTGTGACGCTGGCATCTGCTCAGGCAATAGTTAGGAGCGAACACTCAAAATTGTAATGGAAATCCGATCGAGCTTACCGTCGAGATCACTGAAACTACTTCCCATGCTAGGTGTATCGCTAGCGTCCTTCCCAGAAGCAATTGATCTCCTAGGACTTGATCGGGCTGGTTCGGCCGTTCTTTGGGGGCCGAAAGCTCCACCTGATTGATGTAAGGCCCGACCACCATCTCCTTGCCGTAAAGGAACAGTCGGCCCGGAGCTAACAGAGCTTGTTGATGACTCTGCTGTGATTGGCTTTCTTGTAATGCTCTCTTGTTCTGTCAAGCGCCTCCGTTGGGCCGCGGCATGCTCTGCTTCCAAACGAAGTGTGGCGTTCAGATCTTGTCGGGAGGGCGCGCGTCGAGCCTCTTCCGACTCACGAGCCAAAGGCAGGAAGGCGGGAGATTCATCTTCGTCTTCTTCGTCATCTCTCAGGCCGGGCCGATGAGTTGAGAGTTTGCCAAAGCGCTTAAACCGTGGCCCTGTCCTGCTGAGCATACCATCGCCATCGGAATCAGACTCCGACTCCGAACTTGAGAGGTCTTCTTCCTCAAGCGTAGGTGATTTTTGTAGCAAGGCCTGCACAGCTTGCTCCTTTCTGTTTATCGAGGGGCGTCGACCATATCCCTCCCATCTAGTGTCTTTTGTGTCAGCTGGTGGCGTTTCGTTTCTAGACATTTCTTTTTGACACTTTATTTGGTTAATGTTGGATGTAGAGCTCGTACGGCGCGGACCTGGCGCTGCGTTCATCAGATGTGCATCAATAATCGGACTGTACTGATGACGAGCAGTAAGGACAAAACTTACTTCGCTGCGGCAATGTATCCTTTGGCTGTGAGACAAGACGAGAGGGTGCACGTTGACCTTGAGCTTATCAACTGTACTGTTCGTGGAACAGGGCTCAGAAAAGATATACCTGCACTGGAAATGCCTTTGGGCTGTTGGCCTCCTAGAGCTGCGCTTCCGGTCATGGAACCAGGAGCTGGAGACGGGGAGGTAGAGTGCGTAGTGCCCACTTTGCGCATTTGGGCGCGGACTTGCGATAGCTGCCGGTCATAAAGCCATGCTGCCTGCTGGAGGAGGAACTGAAGTGTGACATCGAAACTATCCGCTCTGGAAGCGGCCAGTTTGTTAGCACATGTTGATTATGGATGTTTACATTTATGGTGATGTACAGTGCTTTCCCTGTAAGAGAATTAGTATGATAACACTTTTGATGAAGTTGAAAAGGTTGTCTCACAGTCTATATCATCCCCTTTGGCTGGACGTGAGAGGATATCCCAGAGTGCCTGGTCCTTGGCAGCGCTCCATTCCACCTGTGGGAAGTCAGTCGACAGTGAGAGAGTAAGCTTGATCAGCGTCGGCACTTGCAGGAGGAGGGTCCACGAAATCCCCTCTGGGAAATGGAAGACGGATAAAGACAGTGAATCTAGTATCCCCAGCTTGATGATGAAAGGCCATTCTTCTGCGAGTCCGATCCGTATGCAACAAATACAAGGAGTAAACGACAATGATCGGCTTTTAGTTCATGTACGATTGAGCTTTCACCGTATTAAGCGGCGATAAGCAGGTTATCTCTTCTTATCAAATAGAATTTAAAGGTGATAAGATACTTGGGGATATCTAGGATGACCTTAGTATACGGAGTACCTTAGATGGCGATGGAACAGAAGAGATGACGGAAGTGTTGCCATTCCCGTGTAATCAGGTGCGTTGTAATAGAAGGCTTGGGATGTGCTCGGAGATCCTTTGGTAGCGGGGAGGGCCAGTCTTGGCTGCGGATCTACAGAGTAATGCTAGTTCCACCGCGTCCGGTGACATGGGCACATGAGCCTACATCAGATTGAGCCTCAGGCAACTACGTGAGCGCTATCTCCCTATTATTCCTCTCTATACCTCTCTATACCTCTCTACATATTGGTAACTGGCAGTTTATCTCATGCAGCCTGGGCTAGGCTAGGGCCTAATTTGGAAATTGTTGCGATTTTTGACAGACGGCCATGGCTCCACTTTGCACCGACATTCCTGATACTTGGGCCATTTTGATGGGGGATTTCCTGTATCCGCTAGGCCGGACCATAGGCATGGAAACGGTTTCTTATGGAAGCCGGTATAAACCGATCAGCTACCTTCCGAATGCGCTGTCTCAACTGAAAACTGAAGAGGATCTAGGGGGTTCAACAAACGCCAGAAGGGTGACAGGCTCTCTCTGAATAATCTCTTAGGAAGGGAGCCTGAGTTTTATGAACATCTTCTTGGAAAAGAGGTGAGCTACTTCAATCTAACGCGCCTTTGGCCAAGGATTGATTATTGGGCTATTACTTAAATGGTTAGTAGGAACTCTCCCACCCATGGTTGGCGAACACGACTCTACAACTTTTATATCTAGCCTGGCTTCTTCGGTTAATACCAATGACCTATAAACATCGTAGATTCTTAGAACCTAGACGGGGAGTAAGGAGCAGGGCAAGATATAAAGTCTACGGCCTCCAGCATCTAAGTCAGGGGGCAGCATCCTGATTGGTTTCTCAAGAGCTACGCGCTCATAAGTCACTGGACTCCGCTATCCAACATGGTGGAGCTGACCGAACGCCGAAGCAAAAGCTTGGAGGGATGGATTTACCCGAATTGCGCCAAAATATTTGCGCTATCTCATAGTCAGAATGATTTTCGTAGAATCTCAATTATTGTACCTAATCTAATCCTGTGCCATGGATACCAATCATGTAGTCCCGCACCTGACATCGTGCAGGCATGAAGTCATGTTAAAGAAATTTATAAAGATGGATGCCTCGGTACCTCTCTCGAGCCTTTATTCCTCGTTGGCAATGATACTTTCCTGAACCAAGACACTTAGTGGAGTCCAGCCCGATATTACCTATACTTTCTCTACAGCGCCACATTCAAGCATATTGCAGACATCAAGAGGCGTCCTCTTCCCAAACCCATATTCTCCTCCCTCTGTTGTCGGCCATCAGTCAACGTGAAGAGTCCAAGTCCGGAACTTTCATCGATATCCCTATCGAGAACGTAATTGACCTTCCCGTCGTTGCCCTTGCCAGGCTTTTTATCTTCATTAATTAATGTCTTACCTAATATACATCTACCGCAAATTATTGGCGGTGCTCCTCAGAGCTGTTGTCACCCGTGGCAAGCGCATCTCTGCAAGTCCAGATGATGTCCTTCAGATAAAGTCGCGAGATGCGGGTAGACACTTGAGGGCTCACGTCTATCAGCCAGCAACTGCGTCGTCACCATCGCCTGTCCTCATAAACTTCCATGGAAGCGGGTTCTTGTTACCGCTTCACGGAAGCGACGACGAATTCTGTCAGCAAGTAAGTCGAGAGACAGAATATACAGTGTTGGACGTTCAATACCGGCTGGCGCCAGAACATCCTTTTCCAGCGGCGCTTAACGACGTGGAGGATGCGGTCAACTGGGTCCTGCAACAGCCAGACAAGTTCGATTTGACTCGAGTGGCTATCTCCGGGTTCAGCGCTGGAGGGAATCTCGCGATCGCGGCAGCTTCGGTGCTCTTCCCACGAGAGACATTTCGATCTCTCCTCGCATTCTACCCACCGCTCGATTTGTACACAGACCCTGGAGCCAAAAGCCCGCCGGATCCGGCAGGGAAGCCCATTCCTCCACCTTTGAGTCGACTGTTCGACAAGTGCTACGTACCTTCCGCATATGATGCCAGAGACCCGCGAATTTCACCATGCTATGCGCAGCCCGAGAGGTTCCCAGATCGTGTTCTTGTTGTGACAGCGGCTGGCGACACGCTGGCCGGTGAAGCCGAAGCCCTCGCTGCAAAGATAGCCAAATTACCAGGTCGCCAGATCGTGTGCCAGAGGATGCAAGGCTGCAATCATGCCTGGGACAAAAGTGCTCTTCCGGGAACCATCCAAGGCAATGCCAAAGAAAAAGCCTACGCCATGGCTGTTGCAATGCTGATGCGCTAAGTGGCCTAAGTGGCCCGGTTAATGGTCTTCCACGTGGTGTGATCCACAGCTTATTTGCCTCCCCTTTTAGTGATGCTCTTGGTCA